CTAACAGAATCATAAATTACATGGAATTCAAAGTAACTACTGCTCTCTCTTCATATTTTCTTCTGCTGGCTTTCCCTGCCAGGCTTATATACTAATGAAGAGGGCTTCTCGAATACACTTGGACTTCCCCGATCATTCGAGAAACTCATCACACACATTACTAGTGCCAGCAGCGTCACATGACTTCTGCTGTCAAAACAGTACCATTTCATATATATGTAATTTTAAAAGTCTGTGACTTTCTCTCCTAGGTCAGACTCAAACTTGTTGAACACTCCTTCTATAAAGCCACAGTATACTTAGGGTAATTTCAGTGCTCTAAAAATTTTGAACTTTTTTATTTCAGGTGCCTTTGTTTATTTATTGCAAAATGGCACCATTTGACAGCTCCACATCATACCCATGACAAAGATAACAAGCTTTCAAATGATGTGGATGTGTGTAGGCTCTTTTCAGAGAATGGTCACTCACCTAGGTAGGATTCTGAAAAAGTGACCAGTTAGTGTAATAATATATGTGTTTTATGTACAAGAGTTATTGTAAAAGATAATGGTTTTATTAGAAATAATTTTTTATCTAACTGTTGAATGTGTTCTGTTTTTTTGTATTTAAATTGGTAATTACAAATCCTTTATATATATAAAACCACTAATTTCAGTATAGAAAAACTTGTTTTGGAAGTTATTAGTAGAAAAAATATTAAAAATAAACATAAGGCTATAAGTAATTGTAGTATTGTTATTTATTTTACTGTTTTGTACATACTTTGTTGATTCTTATAAAGGTTAATGCTGTATTTGGACCTGGTTTAACCTACATCACTTGGACATCCCTTAAACTACCAGAATACTTTGTCACTGTCAGTAACTCCTTAAAACATTTAGAACATGTGATTAATCAGGTAATTTTCAATATTTTTAATTAAGGCATACTATGCATCACATTTTGTTAAATATTATATTTTAATAAAGTTGTTTACCTGTTGAAAAGGTTAGGTTGTATTAGTTGCCAATATTACATATGAAAAAACAGATTTTATGCCATAAAATTATTACATATTAAAATTAAAAGTTTGAGATATCTTTATTACGCAGTATTAGAAATCAAACTTAACCTGTTTTGTTTGGTGCTGTAGTATATATGTATGAAGAATCTGATAAAACTTTGGTAATTTCAAATGAAAATGTATTAATAAGGACTGAATTTTTTTAGGAGTATATACAATTTTCATGATATAAAATTGTTTAGTCAGAATTATAGAAATATAACTTTCTTTCCATATTACTGCACAATTATCTCTGTATTACCTTATTATCTCTTCTATTTTCACTTCTTTCTTGCAGTGATTATTCAGATCAGCTAATCTGCTTAAATAGGCAGGAGATAGTCATATTGGAATTTGTTTTCTTTTTTTTTGTTTAGTGGTTGTAACTTCTGTTTGGGATTTGTTTCGTTTAATGTTTCCTTAGTGCTAAGATTGTGGAATCAATTCATCCTGTAAAATTAACCCAAAGGCAAAGAATAGTTCTTATGTTAAAAGGCTACTGGTTTGGCATTGTATAAACGTTTAATCTGAGGGAACTTTTTGGAGTATAGTTAGTGAGAGGGTTATTGTGTTTTCTGCCAGTATTTCACATATCCTGTGCTGGAAGGGTTTTCACTAGAAGTCGTGTGAAGTTATGTACATTATGGAAATTTTGATCTAAAAATGCTGTTGTAAAGACATGCATATAATCCACATCCATAAACCAAAGACATTATATTGGGTGGTACTGATATTTTAAGGACCAATGACCATGTTGATTGTTGTTCTTATTATGACTTAACTTTTTATGTGTTTTTTTTTGGCTTGAATGTTAAGTCGAGTGCTAAATTATGTTTGTGTGATAACTTAATCAGTTATATATCTTCATAAGTGTGCTTGTACAATTTGTAGAATGATATATGTTTGTTCATAATGGTTAAAGTATAGAAAGTTGAAGTGGTATTTACAATTATATTCGTAATTTAACTAAACTATTATACACCTTTTTTAAAAACTTTATTTGTTGTACCTGTTCAATGGTGATTTGAGCTATTGCTAGAGATTTATGAAGCAATAAACAGTGATCATAGCCTGCATTTGTCATTGGTAACTTTGAATTACCATTGATGACATTCAAATAAATGAACTCATTGCTGTTATACATAACACATAACATCTTATACAAATGTTTATTTCACTTCACCCTTACCTAAATTTACATTATATCGACTGTTTAATTTTCATAATTTTTTATAATTTATTATTCTTACGATTTATTTAGTTTGTGAGGATACCTGGGGGCTACCCCACCTTCTTTCAATATTGCTTGCCTTCCTCCTACAACTGCTAAACCCATTTAGAATGACTTAAATGTTGTCAATTTTCCTCTATCTATTTATGGCTTGCGTTCCCTGGCCACAAATGTGGTATCTTCTAGGCTTTCCTCAGCTTTTTTTAGACATGTTTCACAGTATAGTTTTCCCTTCTTTCTCTAAATATTGTTTCATGATTAGCAGTCTCTGTTAATACTATCCATTTTGTCCCCACTTCATTTCCCAGTTTCATCTTACCCTGTTGACTCTCCTACAGGAAATGTCTCCTTTCATAGACGTTCCACCTATATTTAGGGGATTTTCATGGGTACCTTCTCCTCCTTCCCTCCATGTTAGGGAGTTTGCCATCTTCAGTTCTTTCCCTCCACACGTGGCTTCTTTGCTTGTGGGATCTTCTGGGGTAGGACACTGTCTTCTACTGTTTGTTTGTCATCCGCTTCTAATAGGGACTTACAGTTGGCTCTTTTTCTCCATCAGTCCATTTTTGGAGGTTTGTTGCATGATAAATTGCATGCAAGAATCAGTTAAACCAGGTGAATCGAGGGGTGTGTGGGAGTGAAAAGTTTTTGGCATGCGAAAACATTTTTACAAATAGAAGGCAGCACAGAATGATAACGCTATGTATGTGAGTAGAATTAAGTACCTGTTGAAAATATATTTTCAATGCAGAAAAATTATAACTTTCAATTCAACAATCAACTTGCTTTATTCAACTAGAAAAGGGTTTCAATACAGCCATACATACCCCTGTACACTAGATTAGATATATTAATAATCTAATAAAAAACATTAGGTGTGAAGAAAAAGGTGTGGCCAAAATAAGTCTGAGTGTGTGACTTAAAGGAATGAAATCAAAATCAGTGGCCAAACTGGTAGCTACACTTATAGCATTGATAAGAATTTTACAGCAAATATTCATTAATTAGTTAGGTAGGCCACGTATTTTGTTTTAGCATCATCATGCTCCAAGTTGAACAAAAAATGTGGCCTGGCTAACTATTGAATGAATATTTCCAGTAAAATTCTTATCAATGCTATAACTGTAGCAACCAGTTTGGCCACCAATTTTTATTTCATTTTTTTAAGTCACACACTCAATCCTTTTTTGGTTGCACCTATTTTTCACACCTAAGGTGTTTTTTATTAGGTATCATGACTTTTTATCAATTCTCACCAACAAATCACAGCAAGTAAGAAAGTGACACTCAATAATAACACAAATTAGCTTTAGGATTGCATCACCATTATTCAGAACAGACCTTTACTTTACAGAACTCACCAGATTCTTTAAAATATATGATGGTAGTTTTCCTCTCTAAAACAGTGTTAATAGCTTCCTTTATAGTAGTGCCATGGAACTTAGATTAAGAGTTTTTTGTCATCACCCCCATGCAATTGGTATAGTCATATCAAGTGTCATTATTTATGGTAATTGCTTAAGCTAATATCATGTGATGCTAAACACTCTTTAATTAGGATAATTTCATAAAATTTATTACAGTTGTGCTCAAAAGTTGCCAATGAATAATCAATAATAACTGTCCACCTGTATGATTCTTTTGAAGACTTGAGCTAGAAACTGCTAATCTAGTTTGATTGGCCTAATCACTGCATATGTATCTGCACGTGCTTTCACCCTATAGTTTTGCTGCTCTAATTCAGCCATTTTTAATCTGAATGATAAAAAACTAAAAATGATCCACTTTTACTCTTAGTTGAAGCTGTAGTAAAAATTTCAAACTGGTAGCTCACGTGACTTTTTGTATAGGTGTGCACAACACACTACCATGTTTCTTGATATTTTTTTTGCATTTATTCATAATATAACATGTTTCCTGATATAATGAAGAGAATAATGTAAGAAAGATTTATTTGTTCAGCACAATACTACTTATGTTTTTCTTCCTTGATAATTAGAATTTGAGTCTTTTAAGCTTTGAATTTTATTTGAATGGAATGTGTGAACCATGAATAATTGTTTATAACATAATTTTGCAATTTAGGTTGCAGACATCAAAACATCCCGCATTGATAACATATTAGATGAAATATCCAACAGCGAATTGATTGAATTTCCAACTACCAAACCATGGACTGCAGTGGAGTTCATAGAAAATACAAGGGTAAAGTTATAAAACTATATATATATATTTTTGAACTGCTATGTGCTTACAGTAAAACAATAGTTTCATAGCTTTAAGTTTAGGCCAAATTCTCTTGGTATCAGGATATGCAAAGCATAAGGTAAACAAACATTACTATAATAGTGTGGTATATAAGCACATCATGCATTTTCTACCTATTTAATAGTTTATTATTAAAAATTCATCTGTTATTCTGTGTATGTGCAGTTTTCACATAATAAATACACAAGAAAGTCATTAAAGTACTTTCACTGTAGCTACCTCTGTTTCTTTTGTCATTCTCTTGGGGTGACATTTAATTTTCCCATGAGTTGTATGACTGTAATGCTGCACGTTGTACAAAGATATTGATAGCATTGTCCTCCAATGGAAGATCAGGTGATGCCTTGAGGTTATGACCACCCTTAATTTTGAATGATAGTAACGAGTCATGTGTGTAGCACTAGTCACTGGGTAAGTCAATTGTTAATTTTAAAGTAAATAACATATTTGTTTTAAAGGCCTTGTAGGTGATCAGAACTACTCTATAATTAGATTTGCCTGACCTTTGCTCCACCCTTCCTTCAGCAAGCTTTGTTCACTAAATTTCCCTTTCATCGTAAATGAAAAACTGACAAAATAAAAACAATTTTCAAGTACACTCTAAAAAATATCAATAAGAATGGTGCAACTTAAATTAAACATGATTCATAATATGAGTGTTACACACACAAAATGACAACTTGCATTTATATATATATATACAAGATTTTGATCAGCAGAAAAATAGTTGTATCACGTCAAAGTTCATGACTTTTATATAAATTTAAGAAAATCAAATCAAACTCTTAATTTTTTCTTTTCAGTTTATTCTTCACATTATGACTATATCAAGAATGTTTACATGTCATTTCTAATGTTAAAAAGTGTTCAGAAAGAAATTGGAAAAGTTTTTTAGCATTTTAGTTATTGCTGCATAATATATTTTTAAACGTTTTTAGCATTTATATTTTATATTATTGTTATAAATTTTCACATGTTGCAACAAAGTATGTAAAATATTCACAGAATAGAAATGCATGTTTCTGGACATAACATTTCATTATTCAAAAAAGTGGAATACGTTTTAGCCCTCGTGAAAATTCTTATTATTATGTATCTACTTAAGACAACAATATCATAGTTTTGTTGCTAAACAATGCAGACAAACAGAGCATTACTGAAAGACAACTGGCTTTTATAAATATTAGATAAATATCTTGACAATTTTCCTATTATACAGCAGACCTACCAGCAGTCAGTTTTACCTGAAGATACCACAGAATGGATAGGAAGAAGAATATTTTCGTGATATGACCACAGAATACATTTTTGTGGGGTTTTATGTTTTTCTGCTGGTGTGTGTTTATTGTACTTTACTTCTACAAAAAGGCTTCTTTGTAGTGGAAATGACATTTTATACAACTCAAAGGAAGAGTTGGTCACTGGAGGGAGACAATTTTATGAGATAGTTGTCAAGTCTAGGAGAAGTTCTTTCTTGGACATTGGACTTGATATTGCTGCAAAGGTCCATTCATGATATCCATCTAATTGTAGCTGATGACCCCAGAAGAAGTCACTAATGTGTGATGCACCCAGAATGACCACTATTCATGTTCTTTCCATGAGGATTGACCTCAGTGCAATGTAAGCATGGATGACAGGTTTATCATGGTAGTGCCATTTGTTACAACTCTGACCAAATGTGGTAGTCTGTAAATGAACCACACCTTTGCCAGTCAGAGCAATTCAACGACATCTCTGGTGGAAGACTCCAAGAACACTCAGATAGAGAGACAGGAGGTGCCATTTGTGTATGGTATTTGACAAAAGGAGCTACATCACCAGCAGTTGAGGCAACAGTTATTGAAATGTCAAGATGGTGAAACGTAAAACAATATTGAGCCTTTCTGAGTTGAAGAGTATACAGCCAGGGTGACAGGGGATTACAGAGGAACCTAGGGTTGTAAGCAACTCATCTGTTGGTTGTGTGTAACCCTATCTCATTACTCTGCTGCTCTGGAACAGGGATCGACTACTGACACAAGGATGGGATTTCCTGAGCATACCTTGAATATTGTACCAATAAAATCAAGGCCATCTTGGTCAGATGATGGTTGAGAGATCATGAGTGAAAGGGACTGACCATGATCATATGTCTCTGTGAGTGAGGTGAAATAGATCATGTCCCCAACATTCAAGGGTGTATCAAAAGAGGAGTTGGAGTGCTTCCAGAAACATTTCAAGCAGGTAATTGGTTTGAGTGGCTGTACAATGCCAGATGTTAAATCTAGATTATCCAGCCCTAGATTTCATTGAACACTTGAGCAAAGCACAATTATGTCAAGGAAAATTGAGCAATCTGTTGGTCTGAGTTCAAGTCTTGGAAGAGTTGTACCACAGAAAGCTTGGCTGCTTAAAAAATAGTTTGTGCCACTTGCACAGTAGAGCTTACCTTTGCAATTGCTTTGACAGATTGTGAGGATATCCTTGTTTACAAATTTGTGGAAGGGCTACTCTGTGAGATTGTGAGCCATCTCTTGGATGTGAAAGATATTCTCACCTTTATGAGGCAGTATCTGTAGTGATACAGTAGGGAGTGATAATTTTGAACCAGAAACAAAAAAAGGAAGAAACGTACAGTGACTCTACATCTTATAGACCATCTTACACAGGTAGTTAAACCATGCAAAAACTCAAGTTCAGTAAAGATTAACCAACCACTCACACATCCCAGCACTGTAATGTAACCACTTTGGTACCCAGTTGGTGGGTACAAATATCCCAGTCCTTCCTTAGTTTATGTACCATAGCCTATGTTGATGATGCCTCCATCTGGACATCATCCTGGAAGAAAGGGCCAAAGCATAAATCTGCTTGTTGAGCATTGGTTCATTTTATTGTGATTAGGATTAGGATTTCAACTGATGACTCAGCAGATGCAAAATAGCCAACAACAGACAGTGAGCACTGCTGCCACAACTCCAGAAAACTAACAGAGACTAAATCAGACTTGTCCATGAACTTGGAGAGTGCATTAGACAGATGGACTAAAAGGTTGGCAGTTAGTCTAGCTTCCTATTGGCTAGATGAGTGTTTGTATGTGTCCTTCAAAGTGTAAGGGTGAGAGATAGATTTTATGATTGATACAGGAGTGGCCAAAAGACTGGTACATTATGCAATATCATGAACCATGGTAGTGGTTCATAATAGGGATCATCCATTTGTTCTTCTATATTATTATTTAATATTGTTCCGACAGCTTACAGCAAAAATTTCTGAGTATTGTAATAAAACCTGGGCAATATTACTAAATGCACATTGTGTTGGGTAGTTTTTAAGTGTATTTGACAACCTAGCAAATAACAGTGTCTGTATAACTGTTGACATCCAATCGTTTTAATGTAGTCTATGGTTTATATGGAGCTTCATTGTCTACTACATGCATACATATATAGCTGCTTGCAGGCTGTGAATGTAATTTAATGTTTATATGGGAGGCATGACACATGTACCATAGCAATTATTAACTTACTGTTGCAATTGTATTGATGTCACATATTATTTGTTTATGTATAGGGTTCCTGCTCTTTTGGACATGACACTGCTGACAGGATCACTTTTATTTTTACCACTGCATGATTGGTTTCATCCACATTACACAAACATCTAAAACATCACACAAATGTCTAAAATATTATAAAAACATCTAGGCTGTCTCTCACAACAGAAATCTTGTAGTATAAAAGATAGCACCAAGCTCAGTTTTGAACATCGGATCGACAATCACAGTAACGGCTGATGATAAGTGTCGAATTATAGTCAACACTGCCTGATTGGGAATTTTATAGATACTGCAGATAGTGTAGCCATCTTGAAGCTAACTATAAGGAGTGGCAAGAATTGTGCACGTAGGTGATGGCAAAAATGATGCCAATTGTAGGTGAAAGTGAGGCAGAAATTTTATAGCTATATATTTTATTTAGAAAATATTTAGTTTCAGGTAAAGTTTGCAGCAGTGATGGTACATATGAATTTAGGGTCATCACAGTGGAAGAGGGTCATAGAAGTGTCATGACCCAAACTCCATCAGAAATGGAGGGGGGTGAGATATATTAATATAATCAATTCATAATTGTGAACACATTGCTGATGGGTCATAAGTTTACTCATGTTTTGTGTGGAGCATCGTTGTGTGTCATTTATTAAAACTTTGCATTGAAAAGGAGTCTGGCGCATTTCATTTTGTTCTGGATGGTTATTATTCTTCTGATTTTTGCAAATAATACCCATATTTTTATAAATGGCTTCTCACAGAAAATGTAACATGTTTAGTGAAGGTGAGATGATTACTGAACTATTTGATGATAATTTGTCAGATCTTCCAATTGAAGGTGAAGATTCTGATGTGGATGTGTTTGTGGATCATTCTGACAGTGACTTTAGTTACAGTGACGTTGTTAGACCTACAAAGATACATAAAATGCTCTCAACTGATTCTGAATCAGAAAGTGATGATGATTCTACAGATGTTCCTGTTAGTGATTTGTTTTCCCATTATGATAATGATAATTGGTCAGAAATAAATATTCCACCAAATATATTTTGTAATCACAGATGAATACTTTTTTTGACACAATATCAAAT